GTTACGGTCGGGGTTTGGCTTCCTTTTCGGGCTTGGACTGTGATTAATTATAGGCTTATGTCTAGGATGCATTTACGTGTTAGGATCAGGGTCGGCGTTATGGCTAGGGTAAGTCTTAGGCTAAAGGTTAGGCCTAGGGTCAGGTTTAGAAGAATGTTTACGGTTAGGGTTAGGGCTATGGTTAGAATAGCGGTCATTCTTTGTCTTCGGTTTCGGGCTTGGACTGTGATTAATTGAAGATTTATATTTAGGACGCATTTAAGTGTTATGATTAGGGTCGGCGTTATGGCTAGGGTAAGGCTTAGGCTAAAGTTTAGAGCAAGTTTCAGGTTTATATTAATATTTACCGTTAGGGTTAGGGTTAGGGCTATGTTTATGGTTACGGTCAGGGTTTGGCTTCGGTTTCGTGCTTGGACAGTGATTAATTTTAGATTTATGTTTAGGATGCTTTTAAGTGTTTGGAGCATTGTCGGCGGTATGGCTAGTGTAAGGCTAAGGCTAAATTTTCAGTCTAATATATCTGGTTTAGTATACTGTTTACGGTTAGATATAGGGTTAGGTTTACGTTCAGTGTTTGGATTCGCTTTCGGACTTGGACTGTGATTCATTTTAGATTTATTTTTAGGATGCATTTAAGTGATAGGATCAGGATCGGCGTTATTGCTAGGGTAAGTCTTAGGCTAAAGGTTAGGTTTAGGGTCAGGTTTAGAATAATGTTTACGGTTAGGGTTAGGGCTATGGTTAGAATAGCGGTCATTGTTTGGCTTCGGTTTCGGGCTTGGACTGTGATTAATTGAAGATTTATATTTAGGATGCATTTAAGTGTTATGATTAGGGTCGGCGTTATGGCTAGGGTAAGGCTTAGGCTAAAGGTTAGAGCAAGTGTCAGGTCTAGATTAATATTTACCGTTAGGGTTAGGGTTAGGGCTATGTTTATGGTTACGGTCAGGGTTTGGCTTCGGTTTCGTGCTTGGACAGTGATTAATTTTAGATTTATGTTTAGGATGCTTTCAAGTGTTTGGATCAGGGTCGGCGGTATGGCTAGTGTAAGGCTAAGGCTAAAGTTTCAGTCTAATGTGTCTGGTTTAGTATACTGTTTACGGTTAGATATAGGGTTAGGTTTACGGTCAGTGTTTGGATTCGCTTTCGGACTTGGACTGTGATTCATTTTAGATTTATGTTTAGGATGCATTTAAGTGATAGGATCAGGGTCGGCGTTATTGCTAGGGTAAGGCTTAGGCTAAAGGTTAGGTTTAGGGTCAGGTTTAGAATAACATTCACGGTTAGGGTTAGGGTTAGGGCTATTGTTATGTTTACGTTCAGGATAAGGCTTCAGTTTGGGTCTTGGACTGTGATTATTTATTGATTTATGTGTAGGATGCATTTAAGTGTTAGGATCTGGTTCCGGGTTATGGCTAGGGTAAGCGTTAGGCTAAAGGTTAGGGCTAGGGTCAGGTTTAGAGTAATGTTTACTGTTAGGGGTAGGGTTAGTTCTACGGTTAGCGTTAAGTTCAGGTTATGGCTACAGTTTCGGGATTGGACTGTGATTAATTTTAGGTTTATTTTTAGGATGCATTATAGTGTTAGGATCAGGGTCGGCGTTATGTCTAGGTAAAGGCTTAGGCTAAAGGTTAGGGCTAGGTTCAGGTTTAGAATATTTTTTACGGTTAGTGTTAGGGTTAGTTCTAGTGTTACGGTTACGGTCATTGTTTGGCTTCGGTTTCGGTCTTGGACTGTGATCAATTTCAGATTTATGTTTAGGATGCATTTAAGTGTTAGGATCAGGGTCCGCGTTAGGCCTAGGTTAAGGCTGAGGCTAAAGGTTAGGGCTAGGGTCAGGTTTACATTAATGTTTACGGTCAGGCTTATGGCTAGTTTTAGTGTAACGGTCAGGGTTTGGATACGTTTTCGGGCTTGGACTGTGATTATTTTCAGATTGATATTTAGGATGCCTTTTCTTTTTAGGATCAGTTTCGGAGTTATGACTAGCTTAAGGCTTAGGATATAATTTGGGTCTAGTGTCAGTTTCAGATTAATTTTTACGGTTAGGGTTAGGGTTAGGGCTAGGTTTAGAGTTAACGTCAGAGTATGGATTCGGTTTCGGGCTTGGACTGTTAGGAATTTAAGATTTATTTTTAGTATGCATTTAAGTGTTAGGATCAGGTTCGGCGTTCTGGCTAGCGTAAGGCTTAGGCTAAAGTTTAGGGCTAGGTTCAGGTTTAGAATAATGTTTACCGTTAGGGTTAGGCTTATCGGTAGGGTTTTTGTAAAGGTCAGCGTTTGGATTCGGTTTCGAGCTTGGACTGTGATTAAATTTATATTTATATTTAGGATGCCTTTGAGTGTAAGGATCAGGTTCGGCCTTATGGCTCGGTTAAGTCTTAGGCTAAAGGTTAGGCCTAGGGTCACATTTGGAATAATTTTTACGTTTAGGTTTAGGGTTAGGGCCGGGGTTATTGTTGCGGTCAGGGTTTGGCTTTGGTTTCGGGCTTGGACTGTGATTAATTTCAGATTTATTTTTAGGATGCCTTTAGTTGTTAGGATGAGTGTTGGAGTTGTGGCCAGGTTAGGGATTAGGATAAAATTTAGGGCTATGTTCAGTTTCAGATTAATGTGTACGGTTATGTTTAGGGTTAGGGCTAGGCTTATGGATATGGTCCCGTTTTGGCATCGGTTTCGGGCTTGGACTGTAAGTAATTTTAGATTTATTTTTAATATGCATTTAAGTGTTAGGATCTGTGTCGGCGTTATGTCCAGTGTAAGACTTAGGCTAAAGTTTAGGGCTATGTGCATGTTTAGATGAATTTTTACGGTTTGTGTTAGGGCTAGGGTTAGGGTTACGTTCAGGGTTTAGGATTCGGTTTCGGGCTTGGACTGTGATTAATTTTAGATTTATGTTTAGGATGCATTTAAGTGTTAGGATCAGGGTCGGCGTTATGGCTCGGGTAAGGCTTAGGCTAAAGGTTAGGGCTAGGGTCAGGTTTAGAATAATTTTTACGGTTAGAGTTAGGGCTAGGGCTGGGGATATGGTTACGGTCAGTCTTTGGCCTCGGTTTCGGGCTTGGACTGTGATCAATTTCAGATTTATGTTTTGGGATGCATTTAAGTGTTAGGATCAGGGTCGGCGTTATGGCTAGGTTGGGGCTTAGGCTAAACGTTAGGTCTAGGGTCAGGTTTAGAATAATATTTACGGTTAGGGTTATTGTTTGCGATAGGGTTAGTGTTACGGTCAGGGTTTCGATTCATTTTCGGGCTTGGACTGTGATTAATTATAGATTTATGTTTAGGATGCATTTAATTGTTGGGATCAGGGTCGGCGTTTTGGCTAGATTAAGGCTTAGGCTAATGGTTAGTTCTGGGTTAAGGATTAGAATAATGTTTACTGTTAGGGTTATTGTTAGTGCTAGTTTTATTGGTACGGTCAGGATTTGGCTTCGTTTTCGGGCTTGGACTGTGATCAATTTTTCATTTATGTTTAGGATGCCTTTAAGATTTAGGATCATGGTCGGCGTTATGGCTAGTATAAGGCTTAGGCTAAAGGTTATTGCTGGGTTCAGGTTTAGATTAATATTTACGGTTAGGTTTCGGGTTAGGGCTATGGTTATTCTTTAGGTCAGTGTTTGGCTTGGTTTTCGGACTTGGACTGTGATTAATTTTAGATTTATGTTTAAGATGTTTTAAGTGTTAGGATCAGTGACGGCTTTATGCCTAGGATAATTTTTAGTTTAATGTTTGCGTTTAGCGTAATGGTTTAAGCTAATTTTACGGTTACGGTCAAATTTTTGTCTTCGGTTTCTGTCTTGGAATGTGATTAGTTTTAGATTTATGTTTAGGATGCTTTTAAGTGTTAGGATCAGGTTCGGCGTCATGGTTAGTGAAAGGCTTAGGCTAAAGTTTAGGGCTAGGGTCAGGTTTAGATTAATGTTTACGGTTAGGGTTAGGGCTATGGATGGGGATACGGTTACGGTCAGTGTTTGGCCTCGGTTTCGGCTTTGGACTGTGGTTAATTTTAGATTTATATTTTGGGATGCCTTTAAGTGTTAGGATCAGTTTCGGCGTTATGTCTAGGCTATGGCTTAGGCTAAAGGTTAGGTCTAGGTTCAGGTTTAGATTAATGTTTATGGTTAGGGTTAGAGTTAGGGCTATGCTTTTGTTTACGGTCAGGTGTAGGCTTCGGTTTCGAGCTTGGACTGTGATTAATTTTAGATTTATGTTCAGGATGCCTTTATGTGTTAGGATCGGGTTCGGATTTATGGCTAGGGTAAGGCTTGGGCTAATGGTTAGTGCTAGGTTCAGGTTTAGAATAATGCTTACGGTTAGGGTTCGGGTTAGGGCTTTGGTTTGTGTTAAGGTCAGTGTTTGTCTTGGGTTAGTTTTATGTTGACGAGCAGCGAATATCATATCCGTTATCATGCGATGACTGCGGAATGCGCATTTTCTCTCCGGCTGATGACGTTTTTCTATTTAGCAGTTCAGACTATTTTGGATGATGCGAGGCAAGATTTTCCCGGCGATAATCAGCAGGGAGTTGCCTCAAAGTTTGTCGCAGATCTGGCGGTTTTCTTCCCGCCTTTATAAGTGCACGCTTGTGGCATCCTTGAAATTCTGTGGGGCGTCACCTGGAAGAGCGCAGTCAGTTGATCCATGAGATTGTAGATCTCAGCAGGGATCGAGTCTGATCCGGGTACTTTCCCACTGGAGAGCTGCTGCACGGGCCTGATGGTTTCCTGGAGAGGAAACGAAAGCTCGAGGTCGACGTTAGTCTCCACTTGAGTCAGACGTGCGACGCCGGCGTCGGAGATGGTAGAGGGACATTTAGAGACACCATTTAAGTGCTTGGCCTATCGCTATAGAATTTGTGTCCGCTGAGTGAATAGGATACTGCAGTCGGCGCTGCGGAGAGGTGCAATACCTCTCGTTGGCGGACCGTAGACAGCTTTGATCGCGGAGAAGACGTTCTTACATTCATTGCGGTCTGCGTACCCTTGGATCTCTTCTGTCTATTGAGCCATGCAGTCGTCCTGCATGTCGCGTAGCCGTCGTTGCAGAAGGCGTCGACTACGATAGAAGTCTGCTTTGTTGTCGTCGTCGGTGGGACGATTGTTGCAGGATTCAAGCAGGCGGTACTTCTCGGCGGGCAGATTGCTGATGGCGGCGTCGTTGTCATCGAACATATCCTGATGTTGGTGACGTGCGCGAGTGAGGACGGCCAGCGCCGTCGACTTGACTGTGACCCGCAGTTGGGCCATCGTCAGGATGAGTCGGTGTTCAGCGCATGTACGTAGGCGGAGCAAGCCACTGTCATTGGCGCCGTCGAGACCATGGGGACCCAGCACTCCTCACCAGGCAGCACAGTCTGTCTCGACGCGGGCATTGAAGTCACCAAGGCCAATTAACTTAT